TGATCTGTGTAGATATACATGTAACTTAGTTAGCCAAGCTCTGACTCATGAGCACCATGAGAATAGTATGGCTTTATTTGGTCTTAATCTTCAAAGGCTAAATTTGATTAAAAGCTGATTTAAATAGTTATCATTTGGAATTCTTGTGAGAATATGAATGATATAATCATTTAATTGGGGAGGTCACTTCTATGTGTCTTTCAGTAAGTGATATGTGTGGAATTAAATAGTACATATAGCATAGAGCTTTACATGCCTTCATGTTTATCTTGGTCAAGAATTTTCTTTATTTACCTTAGATGATCAGTCCTTTAAGAGCAGGACTAGACATCTACCTGATGCTCAGCCATGTTTGATGTATGCTCACAAGGCTTTCTGAACTGCCTTTTCATAGTACCTTAAAAATAGTCTTTCTTACTTATTGTATTGCTGATTATTATTTAATTGTCCATTATTGGCTCTCCTTTTGTGTCTTTTCAGGTATCAGCAGTAGAGTCTTTGGAGGGTCCCCTGCTTCAGGTAGAAGGACTGAGTGACCTCAGGCTGGAGCTTCACAGTAAGAAGATGAACCTCCATTTGGTTCTCATAGATGAGCTGCACAGGCACCTGTACATCAAGTCCACCAGCCGAGTTGTGCAGCGAAACAAGGAAAAAGGGAAAATGAGGTGGGTTAAAGTGCCTCTTTGTCATAGTGTCTTGTGGCAATTATCAGAAGAAATATTCTTTGTTTTCAGAATCTTCTAGTTTGTTTTATTTTTCCTTTAATGTACTGTCTCTGAGACTTGAAGATGGTTTTGTAATAGTTATTCCTTGTTCTGAGAGGTGGGCATCAAAGTTTGTTGATTCATTCATTGTACACTTATTGTGGACCTCTTTCATAAGAATACCTAAGAAACATTTCCTGTGGGCCTCTTGTATACTGGATGAGAGACACTCTTTTATATCTCAAAAGGAAATGAAAAACTCTTTGTTTTTTAAATTTGGCATTAAAGTCAGCCAAGTTAAGAAATATAGATATATGCACTAAAATTATAAGATTTATTGTTACTTAGGGTTATGTTTAGCTTTAGGCATTCTTCCTTGTGGAATTGTTCAGAAGAGGTTCAGAAAGAACACTTTCCTTTTACTCCTTGGCTGGTTGTAGTGTAGCACTGTGTTTAAGGGTATGGGTGAGCTTAAGAAATCCATTGCTTTAGTATAGACCAGATAGGGAGTAGGCCTAGATCTTAAGATAGTAAAACGTTTGGATTATTAACATATGACAGCTATGCAAGTGCCTGTCCTTTCAAAAATCTTTTAAATAGCCATAAAATCTTTTCAGAGGGGATTTTAGTACCATATTCTGAAATAGATATGCTTTTGCTTTTTCATCCATGTATACCAGAAGAACACTGCATGCTGGCACTGAAGTCTTTCAAGTCCTATCCTTTTTGAACAAAAAGTGCTAACTTTGTGTGTGAAGCTTTAGTTTAGCCAGAGATCCTGAAGAAAAAGAGAAATTTGTACCTTTTCAGCAGATAGACATAATATAAACTTTTGCCAGGCACATTCCATTCCAGGTAGGAATGTGTACCCGAGACAAAACTTCAAGACAAGATCTGAATAGGGTTAACTCTGAGTTACCCATTCCGCAGAGAGTAGTGCATGTGCGGGAGTGGGAATGCTAAGTGTCTGGTGGTAAATAGTAGGTCTGAATGGATTTCTTCCCATTCCAAGAAAAAACCATAAAACAAAATTACCATGAGTCTTGTCAGTTTCTATGCCATATAGGAAAATAAGTATTATGTTGAGATATCAGAGGAAGAACATTTATTTTAAAAAAGAATTTATAAAGCAAACAAGAAAAAATTTGGGAAACAGAAGCTCAAGTTTTCTCAAAAGAAACTTGATGTAGTAGATTAGATGATTGTTTGAAATAACCTCTTTTCCTCTTTCACTTCAGTGGGAGAAGTACATTTGTTCCCCTCTAGTTTTGGGCTTTTACTTTTGTGAGTCATTAGGACGTGTAACACAGACAGAGACTGCAAATACTCTTGTGCTGGTAAATGGGGAGTATGCCCTCTCGTGCCTCCTCCATTCCCTGCTGGCTTTTTCCCCCCAGAAGAGGAAGAGAGACCCACAGAACCAACTCAAGACCAGCAGACCTCCCCAGTGTGGATCAGCTAGCACCAGAATATATGCTTATTGTTGACATCATGGGGCGTTTGTGGTTGTAGGCAGCAAGTGTATCGCTTCTATGAAACAATAACAGGGAACAGCGAGAGTGGAACAGGGAGAGATGCTAAGAGAACTACAGTGTGAGTTAAATGTGAGAAAAACAAAAGCGAGGAAATTTAAGTCTTAAAATGTTAGACGAATCAGCGATGTGGAGGAAAAACTTTCCTCCTCATGAAGAAGAAAAAGACAAGGTGATAAAAGAAAGATGATGAAATAAAAGATGGAAAACAGTGATCAATCCAATCATTTTAGGTGAGGGTTACACTAAAATGATAGTGCTGTGGACTGTATTATGAACCACACCCCCTAAAATTCACATATTGAAATCCAAATCCCTGGAACCTTAGACTATATTTGGAGATAAAGTTTTTCAAGAGGTAACTAAATTAAAAACAGGTTATTATAGTAGTTACTAACTCATTAGATTGTTGTGCGTGTAAAAAGAAGGAATTTGGACAAGGAGAGATACAGTGAGAAGACAAGACAGTAGAGGAGAAGACACACATCTACACGCAAAAGAGTAAGAGGAAATTAACTCTGCCCACATCTCGACTTCAGATTTCTGGCCTTCAGAACTACAAAAAAATATATTCCTATTGTTGACACTCAGTCTGTGGTACTTTGTTATGACAACCTGAGCAAATCAGTGCAGAGATACTCAGAAGCAATAATTGGAATGTAAATTAAAAAGCCTGCTTTAGCAGGAAGAAAAAGAGAGACCTTGCTCTGCAAATCAAAAGGATTCAAGGTAAAATTAAAACAAAATGAAAAAATCCTTAAATGTGACTTGGAAATTTTTTCGTTACAAACAAATTCTATAAGCACTAGGAAGAATAATTCCTTTTACTGCTCTGATAGAGACAGTTATCTGCCTAACCAGTATCCATTCTCCCCTTTGCTTTTGATGGCAATCCTGTTTGTTCCTGGTGGCCAGAGACCCAGCTTAAAGGCTTTATTTTCTATTTTTCTATATAGCTAGAGCTGATTAGTGGGTCTTCTGCTTGCAAACTGTTGAATGAGAACTCATGGGAAAAATTTTCAAAGATGCCAACTAAATTGGCATGCTTACTGTTTTAAACCTTCACGTGCCTTTATCTCCTTCTTATCTGTGACATGCGACGGTGCCATGAAGTTATTTTAGACACGAGATGTTCTCAAGAATAGAAGGCCACATCCTAAACTCTGATGATGTCCAACCTCTTTTAGAGCCTTGGATGGGCTGCCTCTTTTGTATTAGAGGAAAGAATCCTTTGGTTTACTCAGATCACTATTATTTGGGTAATTATTATGTTTTGCCTGCCCTCCCTCCCTAGCTCCTTTCTTCCTCCCTCCCTTCTTTCCTTCCTTCCCTCGCTCATTTGTCTTTCTATACTGGGTATTGATTGAGTTCCGGGGTACTCTACCACTGAGCTAGGTAGAGTACCTTTTTATTTTTTGAGACAGATTCTCGCAAGTAGTCGTAGTTGGCTTTGAACTTGTGATCTTCCTGTCTCAGTCTCTTGAAAGCTGGGATTACCTGCATGTGCTACTGTGCCCAGCTATGACTTCTATTTTATATTGTAAACTCTAGTTTTGATATACAAAAAGGAGTAAAAGTCAGGCTCACCTGAATTTGCTGACCAGTAAATGTGAGACAACAGTGGAGTCAAGTCTATAGTATAATATGCACTGATGACCAAAGATTTCTAGGCCCAGCCAAGTGGCTATGGGTATACATAAGCAGCTGAGAGTTCTCATATATGAATTGGTAGACAAGAAATAAATTGCTAGTGTTTTTTTTTTTCCCCTAGAAAACTACTCACAGATAAACTCTGGCATAACTCAAAAATCACAGCTTGAGAACAATACAGTTACAGATAGCTTGAAACAACTTTTGAAGAACATACACCATTTAATATGTAAATTTGTATATGAGTAACTAATAAATGTGTGTTTACAAGCAGAGAACTGCTGTTGAAAAAGAAGGTCTGTATAGTGAGGGAATGCTTCCCTAATAATAAGCAGGATTTATATTCCCACACTGAGTTAGTAGTCAGTGGGAAGTTTGAAGAGGCAGAAAAAAAAAAGGAAAATTGAATTTTTGCTAAAGATGAGTCAGAGTTGGTTTGTTTTAGACTTTAACTATTAGAGAAAATACATTTAATTTTGTTTTTATGACTCTTGATATGTATGTTTAGAGATTTCTGTATTGTTTAATAATTATTAGAGAAGACAGAATCAAATAAAACATACTTGGTATTTCAGAGGATGATGTGTTAGCTAAGATTCTTGATTGTAAACAGTAGAAATCTATCCTGAGAACTAAAACAGCTATGGAGTTAACTGGGAAGTTATCAGATATTTCACAGAATTTGTGAGCATTCTATATAATCATGTTCTCAAACCTACTAGGAAGGAACCAAGGCAAACAAAGCAGTTGAGCACACAGTCTTAGACCACATGAAGGGCCCATGAGGGTTGCTACCACTGCTGGTACTGTGCTTACCATGGCTGGATTTTAAACACTCCTGTCAATGATCTTTAAATGTCTTGTTTCTCTCCTTCATCTCCTCCAACGTCCGAGTCTTGGATAGAACCGTCCAGTTTGCTGAGCATCCTGGGCCCTATCTTGCCTCCTTTATTTTCCATAGTAGGTAGTAGGTCCATCTCTTTGCTTTGACTCCATGGGGATTCTGTCCAAATAAAAAGATTGTTTACATGCTTAGTTTCCTAAAACAAATAAAATCCAATAACAAATTTCTATAGCAGGAGAAAACAAAGCAAAGCATATGAAGGCATCTACATATAAAGAACAGAGATTTTTGAGTAGGAAATAGATAAGTAGACACAAAAGAAAACTCATGACTACATGAAAAAAATAATAAACATCATATTTGGAGGAAATAAAACAAATGGCGAGACTGTCCTTGTTCTTAACTCATAAAGGTGTCAGTTGCAGTTAAGTCCCAGTTGAGGTTTTTGAAACTGTCACATGAAACCTGAAGTTCACATGGAAGAAGAAATATATAAGATTTGCTTTAAAAAAGTTGAGAAGGGAAGTTGTGATGGAGGCTTTTCTTATGTGATATCAAAATATATTATAAAGCTATTTTAGTCAAAATAATACAGGCATGCAGATAGAAAACCAGATTGCTGGGATAAAATAGAATTCAGAAACCAATCCCAGGATTCATGACACTTTAGTATTGTACTGTGTGTGGGTGAGTCGTAGTGGTGATGGGTGTTTAGTAAAGAGTTGAGCCAACTGGCCAGTGATTTGAAGAAAATAAATTTAGATACCTATGTTTTTTACATACAAAAAATTCTAGCTAGATTTAATAATCACATGATAAAACTTCATTAACATTAAAATACAAGAACTAAGAGTAGAGGATGCTTTCCTAAGAATGTCAGAAAATGTAAAGAAGAACATGAAATAATATAAATATTGAAAATCTGAAAAGGTGTC